CAAAGCAATATACAATTTTAATGCAATCCCTATTAACACTCCACTGTCATACTTTAAGGATCTCAAAAAAATAATACTTCATTTTATATAGAATCAGAAAAAACCTCGAATAGCCAAGACATTACTCAGAAATAAAAACAAAGCAGGAGGAATCATGCTATCAGACCTCAGACTATACTATAAATCAATAATGATCAAAACAGCATGGTACTGGCACAAAAACAGAGAGGTAGCTGTATGACAGAGAACCAAGAGATGAACCCAGCTACTTACCGGTACCTGATCTTCGACAAGCCAAATAAAAACATTGAGTGGGGGAAATGATTCCCTATTTAACAAATGGTGCTGGGCAAACTGGCTGTCGACCTGTAGAAGACTGAAACTGGACCCATACCTTTCACCATTGACTAAGATAGACTCTTACTGGATTGAAGATTTAAACTTAAGACATGAAACTATAAAAATACTAGAAGTGTAGGGAAATCAAACATGTACAATATAAAAATAAGATTTTAGTGAAGAAACTTGAGCTAGATTTTTAAGAAGTCTATAATATTATAAACAAACTTCATATAACACTTCAAACATAAAAGTTATTCTGTACAGACAGAGACCCATGTACTGGTTAAGAAGATACCAAAAACAAAAAACTTGATATACATGTCTTTTTCTTTTTCTGATACATACTTCTTTATAAATAAAAGATACTGATGAGCTGTAATGCACACAAAAAATTCATAAATGTATTGAGTTACTATTTTTTAAAATAATACAAGTAAACCACAGACACAAATTCTGTGTCAGAGCAATCTGACTTATTTTAGGGACAGAGACAGTTCTACTGTACTTAAGATCTGGCTAAGCATTTAACATTCCTGTAAGCTTTTAAAGACTCTGAATTGAAAATGAGTGAAGTCAACTTTCTCATCTACAACATGAAGAAAATATCTACCCAGCAGAATTATTGTAATAATTAACGTAGATGCATGACTTGGACACGGAAGAGCCTTGTTACTACAGATTCACTCATATCTGAACACCCAAGGATTCTATAATTAAAAGCAATGTTATAATTTAAAACAGTAGAGCAGGGTAACATCTGGAAAACTAGCCTTTCATTATCTTCATACTGACTGGTAACACCTGGCAAGATATCCCACTCCTTCCTCAAATCATGATCAGTGCTACCGGAGAAATAGATGGAGAGAGCGTAAGAGCAGACAGAAAAGACGGCAGCACAAGAGCATAAACATGGGAGCCCGAACTGGAAATCAATACTGCTGTACCGTTACTCAAGGGAAGAAACGTCAACAAAAGGAGAAATTAATGTATCAGAACTGTTAGGATGTCTAGTTAAGACTATCTTCCTTATTCACAGGGATTCGGCTAGCTCAAAGTTAGAAATACAACTTCCTAACATGGTAAACTGAATAGTGAGATACTGCTATTAAAGTTGGCTGGACCATCAAACAGGTCTGTCAACTTTGTTCCTGAATTAAGAAGTATGTTTAATTCCATTATTTGAGTATTATGAAACCAGACATCTTGGCAGGAATATGCCATGCCCCTCCCACTGACCCATTCCCTACTTTCAAGTATTTAGGAGAGAAATAATCCATTCATTTACAACTGCTTGCATAAAGAAAAACAAGGAGCACACTGATTAAATATGGGGAAGCCTAGCAGTGCCCCCATGCGGGCAGGGGCTACTGTCTTGATTGTTTACTGCTGTCACCAGGACATATAGAACCCTGTCTAGCACACAGCAGTTGCCTAATAAACACTTGCTGAAAGAATGCATGAGTGATTCTTTAAAGAAATAATTTTGGGCAACCTAAATTATTTTCAAAGCTGATGTTTTTCTTAAGGCTTTGGAATAGTCCTATTATTTTATATAACATTTTTATTATCTACTCTTATGGAAAAATATCTCAAAAGAAAATTTCTTCTACATTAAAAAATTTACTACATTGCCCTCATTGAACCCAAAATACATAATCTTAAAAAAAAATTTCTATAAAGCACTGCTTCAATATAATTTTATTCAGTTATTACACCAAAATTCACATTTAAAGGATCCAAAGGACTGATATAGAAAATTCTAAGCATACATAATTAGATTTTTAAGGTAGAACTTATTTTCATTATAGCACAGTCCTTAAAAAGTCAAGACTACTACTGAGAATTAAGTGCAATTCTATCAAGAACTAAAATGAACTCTGCGTGCAGTGTCACTTTAAGTTCCATCAAAATGAAACATACTTGCGTGAATGTGAACGTCAGTGGCAAACATCACTGGCTTCTGATCAACTGACAATAAAGGGATTTCCAATCAAAATGCAAGCACAGTGACTCTCAGTACAGAGCTATGATAATTCTCTAAGAGACCCTGAATCCTTAAATACTTGTAATATTATTTTCTGCTGTGACACTAGTACAAAACACGTCGACTCTAATGCACAGATTATAACACGTTACAACAGCAGGATACTAAGGAAAGTATTTTCTCTATCTGAAAATGCTGTTTTATCCAGTGCGTAAGGCTGGTCACTGCGAATCCAGTGAAACTCCACGTCCTCCAGCTTGAGCAGTATTGTAGGACTCACAAATGTTACACTTCATGCCTAATATATGGAACTGAACTGTGGATCGTCCATTACAGTCATTGCAGAGAATCTGAAGAGTGAAGAGATGAATTTAAATTAAACCTTATAGATACAAGTACATTATCTGCTCATAGCAATCTCTTAAAAGTCATATTAAGTATGTGAAAATACATATATTTGCCTAAACATTTCCATAAGTAGAAGTATTTTTTATCTTTTCACAGAAAACTCTAAAGAGACTATTAATGTTGGTTTGAATTTAGAAAATGAAAATGCAGATTTGTTTTTTGTTTTTTGTTTTTTTTGAGACAGAGCCTCAAGCTATCCCCCTGGGTAGAGTGCTGTGGCATCACAGCTCACAGCAACCTCCAACTCCTGGGCTCAAGCGAGTCTCCTGCCTCAGCCTCCCAAGTAGCTGGGACCACAGGCACCCGCCACAGTGCCTGGCTATTTTTTGGTTGCAGCCGTCATTGTTGTTTTGGCGGCCCGGGTTGGATTCGAACCTACCACCTTAGGTGTATGTGGCTGGCGCCTTAGCCACTTGAGCCACAGGTGCCAAGCCAAAAATGCAGATTTGAACAAAAAAGGCTTATTTTAAAACAGCTCAAATAGTATAAATAATGCAAACAAAAAAACTACCCTAGGCATAATCAGATCAACATCTAATACTTAAAATTCAAAATAACATATATGATTTCATTACTTGTCATTAACATTTAAAAATTTATCTTAGTCGTTAAAACTAAAATTTTTACACAAATAACATTTTTACTTATTTTTTACGTTTACTATATTCCCAGTATCCTATGTCTCAGAAATGAATTAAAGGCCAAAAAGAAGAGTGCTTAAAACTGAGTCAAAAGAAAGAGGCTTTTTTTTAAGACAGAGTCTCACTTTGTTATCCTGGGTTGAGTGCTGTGACATCACAGCTCATAGCAACTTCAAACTCTTGGGCTCAAGGGATTCTCTTGTCTCCTGAGTAGTTGGGACTACAGATGCCTGCCACCACACCCGGCTAGTTTTTCTATTTTTAGTAGAGACTGAGTCTTGCTTTCCTCAGGCTGGTCTTGAATTCCTGAGCTCAAGCACTTCTCCCACCTCAGCCTCCCAGAGGGCTCGGATTACAAGCATGGGCCACTGCACTCGCCTAGAAGGAGGCTTTTGGCTCATCCCTAAAATGACAATAGGATGCCATTTAAGAATTAATCACTTCTGGCGCAAAGTGAGACCCTAAACAAGGAAGGTGCTAACCTAGAAAACGAATCAGTACATCACTGTGCAAGAAAAGCATTAGCTGTCTAATGTCATACCACAACAAGCAGAAAATTTCCAAATTTGCTCTAAATTATAATTTGGAAAATAATTTCTTTAAAAATATGATCTAAATGCAGAAAGTGATTGCCCTAAGTCTGGGGGGTTGAGAAGGGACTGCTAATGGGTAAACAGTTTTCTTCTGAGATGATGAAAATGTTCTAAATTACAGTGACATTTGCCTTAGTACATGAATATACTAAAAAGAATTGATTTATATACCTTTAAATGAGTTGCATAATATGTGAGTTATGTCTTACTAAAGCTATTATTTCAAAAAGCTATCTATGAGAAGCATAGCACACTTCAGCCTCTAGTAAAACGTCACTTGATTATCAATATTCAGAAAGTGATTTTCATTACCCTAACAATTCAGTTAACTACATGAATTATGAAGACACTCCAGTGTGAATAAAATGAAAAATAATTTTATTTGGCTGTTATGTAGTTTTTACCTTTGTGTATAGAAGTATTTGAAGATGTTCATAAAGTTACAGTATGTTCAAAAATTTCACAGTCCCAAAAAGCTACCTAGCATTCCCATTCTGAGCTACAACTCAATACCGTCTGAGAAGAGAACATTTCTCAGTTAATGGAAAAAGATGATCATTCTCCATAAGACAGAAGGCATGAAAATACTTTTTATACTTTAGGTTATGGGCTAATTAAGAAACAATAAACTAGGTCTAAGATAGAATAAAAAGGGCAATAAATATCAAAAACCAAAATAATCTCCAAAAATCAGCAAACATGTTCTCCTGAAATAAAATTCAAAATACTTAAAAATATAACATAATTAAAACATAAGACTAGCAGTCCCCCTCTAATCAGTTATATTAGTGAGTTACTCTGAAAAGTAATGTGTGAATAATTCAGAATGAAGTTTTTGCCTGCCATCTAGTGTTGCTGCCTGCACAGAGGTATTTAGGATTGTTTTCTTCTGGTCTGAATGCAACGTAACTAAAATTTAAAGATCAGTTCTGCCCTTCCCATTAACCATTACACTGGCATCTATGTCAAAGCAGCATTTTTTAGACAAATTTGAACAAAAGGGCAAAAATAAACAAGAATGTCAATAAGGAACCTGAAAAGTTTTAAGCAATGATTCCACTCACATCCACAGTCATGTTCTGATACTCTGAGGGCATAGGAGTCTGAGCCACCTCATCGTCCAGCTGGCGCCAGTAGCGGGTCATGTCCAGCGCAGAGTGCATACACAAAGGACATCTGTAGCCTCTAGAAGAGACAGAGTGGTCACTTTCCAGACATCAAATGGAGAGTGAGTCGACTCAGGTATACAAGCAGATGGCACGTAAACCATCCAGAACAAGGCATTATCCTTTATTTCAAGGTAGTCCCTTAGGAACATGTGAACCTTTATACTATGAAAGTTTTAGAATAAATTCTGTATCTCCTGGTATTTTTTTAAACTTAAGTTTTTTTCTGAGTTCTCCAAAATGGAGAGACATTAGTTTATATTCTTTGTAGAATATACCTCATATATTTTTAAAAACCAATTAAGCTACTTCTTAGCTAAACAACTTTAATTTCTTAACATATTCATGCAAAGAAGAGATTATATTCCTTTAAAATCATTCTGCTCATATTATTTCATTTCTAAACATTTCCCTTCTCTCTGGTTGTCATGTTAAATTACAATTTCTGCTCATCAATTTGCAGGACCAAAATACATTTTTATACACTGTCCTCTTCCCTAACCTCAACTCCTTTTAACATCCTTCCCCATAATGAAGCCTCCACTCTGTACAATCTTTTCACCAACTTTCTTTGCAGTTCACTATACTAAGCTAAAATAACAATGTAACAAAATTTTGAGCACCATTCCTCAGCATTTTACAACACTATGACTGCCACTAACAGAGACTGCGCTCCCTGTTAAGTATGGCCAGAAATGAGAGGCTAATAATTGTGAGAGGAAATAAGCCTCGAAAGCTAAGGATTAATGTGCAGTTGTGTACAGAAGATGCTCTGTCCAGGTTAACTCTACATCTACCCTCCCCGTTTCAATATAAACACCTGCCATGCCCATACAGTGTAAGCAGCAATGATACTGGCCCACACCCCCACCCTACACACACACAAAGACATTTGACTATTACAACTTTTTAAATACCATCAATTACTCACTCTTTCAGCATTTCTTCATAACATGTTCTGAAAAAATATATAACATTATTTTAGTAAAAACAAAAATTTTCTCCACTATTTTCAAACATCTCTGAAGAAAAAAAAGTTACTTTACCTATGTAAAAGATGTCCACATGGCAGAACATGAGCGACAACACGGGACGTGTGAATGTCCTGCCGAGGGGACAAATGTCAGTGTTTATGCGAAGACAATGTGACAGCCAACTGTTTTAAAAGCCAGAGAGGAGATTTCCAAAGTAAAAAGTATTTTAAGCTCACCTCCAAACATATTGGGCAATTCTGCCGGGAAACATTTTCAATACACTGTTTAAAAGAGAAGCCCACATTAACAGAAGCTTAACTAGATGAAAATGTCAGATATAACACTAGTAGTGATAAAAATAGTAAAACCAATTTATTAAAAATGATAGCTAACAGTAACACATGCTTCCTATGTCAGAAAAGAGTTAAACAATTCTTCACCTCTCACGACTATTTCAGAGTTGGCATATTCCCTGCAACAATGAAAATGCTTTCAAAAGCTTAATTATTCAAATTACTTTTACAGAAAAGTGATTTAGGGAGTCAAGACATTTACCCAAGATTCAAAGATAATAAGTAAGGTTTAGAACCCACCTTTCACGTTTTACTCCAAAGCCACTTCCCTGAATTAACAGGCTAAGTTACTAAGTGACAGTAATGATATGATTGCGATTACTACACGCCACGTTCAGTACCTCATTAAGATCAACCCATTCTCACAATCCTGGATGAACGAGGTTATGATTACTATCCCATTTTTACAGCTGAAGTTTCTAAACAGTCTAAACAAGCTAAATAATTTCCAAAGTTACACAAAGAAAGAGATAAAATTAAATTTCAGCTCCAGCAGGCTGACTCCAGAGCTTGAGTTCATCATTTGACAAGATTTAACACCTGACTAGATGTAGGAAGGGAGGGGAAACATCAGCCAGGGTGACTCCTGGGGTTTAATGGAAGCACTCGGTAGACGGCAGGACCACTTACTACCATAGATAATGAAAGACAACCAAGAAACAACACAACAAAAATACCTAAAAATAACAGAATATAGTAGGGAGGAAAACCCACAAAATAAGTTTAATAACAAACTTTTAAAACCTGGATTGTAATCTCAGCTCTGCCATTCATTAACCCTTAGGATTCTGGATAAACTACCACTTCTCTAGCTTTATTTCCCTTATTTATAAAATACATATTTAATTCTAAAGTGCATTTCACACACATTTCAACATCTCTGCAGTCGTGGCACATCTGATGTCAATGGCATGTGCAGGATGACGAGCTGCCAATGCCAAGGTGAAGAAGCAAAGTGGCCGGCAGGAACAGTATGCACACACCTGTTTCCAGAAACCACAAAGTACCACAGCAACAGGACCTGTAAGAGGCTACCGACTCCTGTCTCTACTAGCGTGTGGTCTTCACCCCAAATTCAAGTTTAACAACCAAACTCAATCTTTTATCTCCAACAAATTCACAATCTACTAATCAAGAGCCATAAGCCAGGGCTGAAAATCTTAAGTCATCTTACACAGCCCCATCCTTTTTCCATAATACCCAGTTACCAGATCCTCAATGTTCATTATTCTTTCAATCTCCCTTACCACTTTACTATTTATGCCAGGTACTATCTCATATTCCATTTCTTTAGTCTCTTCTTATCCTTATCTTCTACTGAACTCACTACACTGCTAAGCAAATGACTTCAAACACTCTCTTCCCAGTCAGTGTCTGCCTTGGTCTCTCTCTCTCAACACTCATTCACAATCTTTCCACTCACACTGCTCCCCTTCATTCGGAATATTCTACTTGTACAAATATCATCTGCACTCTGCTCTACCCTAATCCCCCATTCTCTAAACTCCTACAGTAGGTACAATCAGCACTATAAATGTAATAATTTATTAAACTATTTTTTAACAAGGAAAGAGGGGCCTGAGACTGTGATATAAGTTCTACATTCACATTAAAAATATTTGTCTTAATTTTAAAAAGAAATATGAAAATATTTTCTAAATTTTCTTAGAATTCTGCGCTAATAAGGTCACACTGCTCAGTGTATTTCTGCTGTTTTAAAGTTATTCTTAAAGCAGTACCAGTGGATTTTTTTTTTTTACAATTAAAGAGTATTTTTTTAACCTGCTTGTAATCACAAACTGAAAATGTGTCATGTGTTTACCTTAGATAAATTATGATATATAAAGCTCAATAGCAAGAGGTTTTATACATATGGTATATTGAATATATTAGCTTATAAATTAGAGATTTTAAGTTGAATAGTCCCTAAAAAAATTTCACATATTCTAATGAACACATACCAACTTGACCAAGTACAGGTGAAAATATCTATATTGTTCTCATAAACCAAACCATAAGTGTACGTACTATAACAAATAACTGCATCAGTATGGCTTGCCTTTTAAAACTAAATTCAGAAGGGGGCCTGTAAGAAGCTGTTTAGCCTAATTCCCTCCTCCTTTGTGTGTATGTATTTACTAAAGTGAATGCAAAATTTTTCTTTTACAAAAAAATTAGACATATTTAATGTAAACAATCTGGTAAGTCTGGATCTCTCACTCATAAATGAGGAAACAAATTCAAGCAATCTCAGTGACCGGAGGACACTCAGCAGTTAGAGAGAGGCAAAACTAGAACATATTTCGTTATGCTACTTAAACTGGGCTATTCTAACACCAAGGACTATTCTTTTCCCTCTTTTGTATCCTAAAGAACACATCTTTTTCTAGATCATATTTTAGACAAGATCAGGCACATTCAGGATGATATGGCCATAGACATGATTCACATTTTAAATTATTACTGGGATCATTTAGAAAGCCCCACACTTAATCATTTTGCTCATTTAATCATATACAAGTCTTAGAAAAATGCTTGAAGTAATCTGAACACCTGTTTTTCTTATACTTTAAGAGTACAGAACCTGTCTGAATAAAACAATCTATTCTGGATCATTAAGACCAAATGTAAATTGGCAGTTATTTGAAAGATGGCTGTTCAGTGTTACGGAAGTGTCCTACCTAGGCAGAATTTCAATTCCACGAAATATGTACATCACAAAAAAACAATATGGAGAGACCCCCCCCTTCTAGATAGAGCTTCACGTACAGACAATCCAAAGGAAGTGCTGTCGGGAATTATACGGCCCTCCCACCCATCACCAACAAATTCACATGAGATTTCACACAATATCAGGTGATTTCCAGGAAATAATAAAATCAGGTTCAGACACTCTTCTTGGTTTAGTCAATCTGAATAATTTAGGCTGGAAAAACACCTCTCAAG